CCATATCAATCACTTTATATGTCGTTTAGGTAGAAGCACAAAGTTTGGAAAATACTGTATATAAAATCAACACATCATTTTCATTGGGTTTAAATACACCCATTTATTATAATAATAAATAACAATACCGCAACAACTGTAATTTAAAATCTTAAGCTAATAACAGCATTTATGACTAATGACTCACTTGAAAATGATAATTAATATAATATACGTCCATATCATATATTAATATAATATACGTCTAGAAATAAAAAGAATCATAGTAGATATTTGAATTATAGAGCAGTTGAATCATTACGTTATGGAGTCCATAACATTTAAATATTAATCATAATAATAATATAACAATTACCAAGTGTCAGTGTTCTGTTATCGCCGGGGATAACCTTTTAGTCACTCCCTAAATTAATTAATTAATATTAATTTTGTTATTTTAAGGATTTTGAAAGTAAAGGTAAGTGTGTGAAGATACCCATCATCATGACCAACCATTATCGTAACATATAAAAAAAGAAGAGATAAGTAGCTTAGCATGTGAGACAGTCATGGAGAAGCAGCTTTTGTGAGCAGAACTAATACAAACAATTTACTTCTTCTAATCGTTTTTAAGTGAAGATGGCAGGTAGCTTATTGATGAGATTTGTAATTAATTTAATTAGTTAAGGTCAACTTTGGCCTAATTATTATTCTACTTGCAATAAGTTAATTTGTAACATGAAACATTAATTTTGCTTTGGTCAAACTCCTTGGTTTTAACTCTTAAGTAACTCAACATGAAATAATAGTTCCATTTATCATAAAAACATGCCCTAAAGCCCAAACCCAACTTGTGTATCATGACATAAAGATTTTATACTATCTTTTTTTGGGTAACTAGAAAATCTCTGGTCTATTCTTCATTGATTATAGAATCCCAAATCCAAACGTTTTTGCAGCTTATCTTATGAAATTTAAATGAAGAGAGTCTGATGAAATAAAAAACAAAAAGAAAAGAAAGAATAATAATGGACCAATCACTTTATGTGACAAAATGTTTTAATTTATTTTCGTAAAAATGATAGGTGTTTCCTTCAATGGGTTGAATAGTTTTGGTTGTGGGGATCAGGAAAAGGCAATTGAAATTGAGTTATTAACCCATCGAATGAATGAATATATAAAGTTGAAAAAATATTATTAATTTTGTATAGTTTGATTCCAATAAACAATGTAAAAGACCAGACAAAGCAAATTGGCTTTTGCAGGTTGCGATGCTTTTAGTACTGCTTTTAATTATCCTTAGCCACATTCTTCTTCTAGATTCATTCAAACGAAGGCCCCATCTCTTCTCAACATATTACTTGCATTATTTTAGTTAACGTACATTTTTTTAGAAGCTAGCTAAATAATACGTACACTAATTAATTCTCAACAATGACCAAATATGCAATGTTTCAGCTTATCAACCCAAAAGCTTAGTGAATAAGGTCATTCTTTAGGGAAGAAAGTGAAAGGAAAGTGTTTGTGTTTTTCAAAGAAAGGAAGAGACGTCCAAAGGTGAGGGGACAAAAGGAACAGTAATCGATAAATAAATTAGTGTTTGATACAACGTGTTTTCTGGGTTGGAATAGCTTTGGGCTTAGGATTTTTTTTTTTTTTTTGTTTTTTGGTTCCATAACTTAGCCCAATGCTTCTAGTTCTTAGTGAAAGGCGTTTGAAAAAAGAAGACAAAACCAGCGAATCTCTTCTTCCCACTCCCAATAAACAACAAATTATATATCAAAACTTCCAACCAACCCTCAACATCTACAACATTCATTTCACGATAATTTCTCTTATTGACCCAATAAGATCTTCACATTGACAACCATTAAATTTATTTTGATTAATCCAAACAATTACATCTTAATTAAACTAACTCAGAATTTTATTAAGAAAAATGGAGTAGCAGAATCATTGGATTTGAATCCTTTTTTATCAAACAAGATGAAAATGCCAAAAAAATATGGAGATATGAGATAACCTTGGAAGATGGGTTCTTTCGATTGAAATTACCAAAATAACCTTTGAACCTGATGAGCTGTTTGTTACACTTGAAAGAGACACTTGGTCTAAATTTCATTAAATGCCCATGAAATCAGGTCATTACCGTCCAATTAGAAAAACAACTTTGCCCTTATTACCTTGTCGCTTTCCTTGGCCTGAAATTTAAAGGACTGTTTGGTCATTTTATTCTTCTAAACGCAAACTGGCTTCTGTTTTCTGCTCATTTCGGGACCATCGGCTCTAACTGTACTGACTCACCCCGTCACCCGTACCAACTCGTATCTAATTTTCAACGCAGAGGAAGGACAGAACCGTCATTTCAAAAAATGAAACTTTGTAATTATGTGATTTGTAAAGCTTAGTGAGACAGAGATGGGGTTCAACGCAAACACCACTTCTCGTGTCTCTCCATGTCAGTCGGTCAACAAAATTTGACCAACTTTATTTTTAAATTTTACCCCACCAGCAAAATTATTACTGTTTAATAATTATAAATCATTTTATCTTTTTCCTTCCTTCTTTTGTTCATCTTTTTATCTTCCAAGATTCTACATAGCACCTCAAAAGGGTGAAAACCTCATCTGCCCCAAATGCTAAAACGACGCTGCCTTAAGAAAACTCGATCATCGTCGTCATCGTCATTATCATGATTCTTTTTTTTTTCTTTTATTCTGATTCAATAGTATGCTCATCTGGGACCCAATCGTGTTCCGTCGCCTTCGTGTGTCCCACTGTTCACATCATGAATGTCAGTGGGACCCTTTGAATCTGATGATCAGGTTTACAAACAAAACCATGATTATCATTAATCAAGCGATCTTTAGCTATAATCAGATGGTGAAATAGTAGAGGAAGATATCACAGTTTGGTACTTGTTTTTGAATTTTGACCGTGGATCTTACCTACCGACGCAATGCAAACCCACTGAGCTCCTGGCCTCCTGTTTTTCTCTTTCAGTCTTTTTTAACGTTAGTTTTCAAAGGTCATAATTGGATTATTGGAATTTACAACTGTACTAAAAGAGGAAAGGAAAAGAGCATTAAAAAGAATATTTTCGGGTGCGTTTGGTTTAGTATTTTGGATAGGATTTTAAGGGTAGTATTGGGTTATTGGATATGGGAGTATTACGAGGTAAATTTAAAAATTTATAAAAAGCCCTTAGGTTTACTAATTTAACTAAAGACCCTAACATGTAATGACAAAAACACCCCCACCACCTGCACTGTCAGATTCCGGCCACCACCGCCGGAACTGGCCGAAAATTTCGTTACGGCACAGACTTGTCGGATCTGTGCCGTAACACGTCGTTATGGCCTTTTCCGGCTAGATCCATGGTGGATCTGGCCGAAAAGGCCAGATCTACGGTTTGTTATGGCCGTCGTTTGCCGGAAAAGGCCACGACGGCCATCTTTGGCCGTCAGGGACGGCCAAAGATGTGCCGTCGTTTTCGGTCAACACGGCCAAGTTTTGGCCGTCGTTGACCGTCAACGACGGCCATTTCTTTGGCCGTCGCTGACGGCCAGATCTGGCCTTTTCCGCCAGATCCGTGTGGATCTGGCCGAAAAGGCCACAGCGGTGAACTCCGGCCATTTCTGGTCGGAAGTTTGGCCGTTGTACAGATTCCGGCTATCACCGACGGTGGTTGCCGGAATCTGACAAGTTGGTTTAATGGGGGTGTTTTGTTAATTTTTAAACTTTTTTTCAGGGGGTATTTAGTGAAATTAATAACCTTATGGGTTAAAATGTATTAAAAAAAATAGGGTAATATTTTGAGAATATTGTACCAAACGCTATTTGAAAAATCGGATCCAGAATAGGGATAAAAATATTAAACCAAACGCATACTTCATTTTTTTTCCCATAGGGATCCTAGGCATGGGATTAACACTAACACATATCTCACCCACACTGTACAATTTCAATAGTTTCTAGATAAATTTTAGAAATAATTACACTCACCACACAGGTTTTTGAGATGTCTAGTAGAGTTTTTATAATTTTAGGTAGAAGTTTTGACAAATCTTGGAAACCAATAAAATATACGAGTATTTATATTTTAATCCAATCACATTTTAGGTCAATGGAATTTCCTTATTTAATGTTTTCGGCTAAATTATATCCACTTTGTCATTTTAATATTACTCTCTATAGCTTTTCATAAATCAATAGAGAGTGCACAAAACCCAGATATCCTTTGTAAATAATCATATTTATTATTATTAAATAAATAAACATTAAGCATGTTAGTACTAATTTAAAGTAATTAATTTGTGTTTAATTATGTGGAGGTAGTATTAATTGTGTTTTCTAGTTTTGTATACTTTAAAGTTTTGAATTAAATGTCTAAAGTGTATTTAATTTAAAATATATATTATTTGATGTAGACTGGCACTGGTATCGTATGCTTTTTTGGCCGCCTGATGGAGATCACACAGCGGAACTTCGTTTCTCGTTCAGGAAATTGTTGTTTGGCTTTAGCTTTATCCCTTCTTGAAGTTATCAATTTTCAAAGTAAAGCAAACTTAACATAATTATGTGTAAAAAATTAAATTAACAAAAACATTTTCAGAAATTATGTTTTCAAAAATAATTTTTAAATAAAAACTTATAAGTTTTAAGAGAAATAAATATTTTAATAAATATTCATATTTTCCTAAAATAAAACATAAATTTGGAAATGTTATAACAAACAGTAGTTAGTCACTTGTGTCTTTTTCTTTACTGTTTAATGAACAATAAGAGTCCAAAACCAAAATAAACGAACCTTTTTGGCAATAATGAAACTCTCCCGCATGATTAAAACACCACTACACACATACAAATAATTATATCCAACCTTTTTTTTTTCAATAAATAAAATTCACAATAAAATCATGCCTTCTCATCCTCTTCACTTCCTCACCTTACTCTCATCTCCCACCCTCCCTCTCCCTCTCCCTCTCCCTCTCCCTCTCCCTCCCCCTCCCCCGCCCCAACCCTTCCCTTCCTTCTCTCCCTCCAAACTCACAACACAAAAACACAAACAAAAATAATGAGACTCCTCCTCCTTCTCCTCCTGTTTCTTCTCCTCCTTCTCTTTCACATTTCTCACTCCCGTACCGTCCCTGAATACAAAGCTCTTCTTTCCGTGAAATCCGCCATTACCGACGACCCGCAGTCCCCACTTTCCTCGTGGAACGAGACCACTAACCACTGTACATGGAGCGGCATCACCTGCGACGCTCGACGTCACGTGACTTCCATAGACCTGTCCGGTCTCAACCTTTCCGGTACTCTCTCTCCGGACCTGGCTCACCTTCGCTTCCTCCAGAACCTCTCAGTGGCCATCAACCAGTTCTCCGGTCCCATACCACCCGAGATCTCGGCGCTTTCGGCTCTCCGCACCTTGAACCTCTCCAACAATGTGTTCAACGGTTCATTCCCTAACGAGTTGTCCCAGCTCGTCAGCTTACAGGTCCTTGACTTGTACAACAACAACATGACTGGTGACTTGCCGCTTGCAGTTACGCAGCTCCGAAACTTACGCCACTTGCATCTCGGAGGCAACTATTTCGGCGGTCAGATCCCCGCCGCGTATGGCGGCTGGGAGTTTCTTGAGTATCTGGCGGTTTCCGGTAACGAACTCGTTGGCAAAATACCGGGAGAAATCGGTAACTTAACCAAGTTACGAGAGCTCTACATTGGTTACTATAACGGTTATACCAGCGGTTTGCCTCCAGAAATCGGAAATTTATCGGCGTTAGTTCGGTTTGACGCTGCTAACTGTGGACTGTCAGGTGAAATACCAGCTGATATAGGACGTTTGCAGAATTTGGACACTCTGTTTCTTCAAGTTAACAGTCTTTCAGGACCGTTGACGAGGGAGTTGGGTACTTTAAAGAGCTTGAAGTCGATGGACTTATCCAACAACATGTTTACCGGCGAGATACCGGACTCATTTGCCGAGTTGAACAATTTGACACTGTTAAATCTTTTCAGAAACAAACTTCATGGTGCAATCCCGGAGTTTATCGGCGAGTTACCGCAGCTTGAGGTGTTACAGCTGTGGGAAAACAACTTTACCGGAAGCATTCCTCAAAGATTGGGCTCTAACGGCAAGCTACGGAATCTAGATCTTTCGTCCAATAAGCTTACCGGCACGTTGCCTCCTGACATGTGTTCCGGTAACTCCTTGCAAACTTTAATCACTCTTGGGAATTTCTTGTTTGGTCCCATTCCAGAACCGTTGGGGAAATGCGAATCGTTGAGTCGGATTCGAATGGGAGAGAATTTTCTAAACGGATCTATACCAAAAGGTCTGTTTGGGTTACCGAATCTCAGTCAAGTTGAGTTGCAGGATAATTATTTAACCGGGGAGTTCCCAGAGTCCGATTCCATCCCGACCAATCTTGGTCAAATTAGTTTATCTAACAACCAGCTTTCTGGTTCTTTACCCGCTACTATTGGCAACTTTACTGGAGTTCAGAAGCTTCTGCTTGATGGGAACAAGTTCTCGGGTCAAATCCCGTCCGAGATTGGCAGGTTACAGCAACTTTCAAAGATGGATTTTAGTCACAATCAGTTTTCTGGTCGGATTGCGCCCGAGATTAGCCAGTGTAAACTTCTGACTTTTGTTGATCTGAGTAGAAATGAACTTTCTGGGGAGATTCCTAATGAGATTACTGGTATGAGAATCTTGAATTATCTGAATTTGTCAAGGAACCACCTTCTGGGTAACATTCCAGCTTCTATAGCTACTATGCAGAGCTTAACTAGTGTTGATTTTTCGTATAACAATCTTTCTGGTTTGGTTCCTGGAACTGGTCAATTTAGTTACTTCAACTATACTTCGTTTTTGGGTAATCCTGGGCTTTGTGGTCCTTATTTGGGACATTGTAAAGACGGTGTTGCCAATGGTACCCACCAGCCTCATGTTAAAGGTCCATTATCTGCTTCTGTGAAGTTGTTACTTGTGGTTGGATTACTTGTGTGCTCGATTGCGTTTGCAGTCGCTGCAATTATCAAGGCAAGGTCTTTGAAGAAGGCTAGTGATTCTCGCGCTTGGAAATTGACTGCATTCCAGCGCCTGGACTTCACTTGTGATGATGTTCTTGATAGCTTGAAGGAGGATAACATAATTGGAAAAGGCGGTGCTGGCATTGTTTACAAGGGGATTATGCCTAGTGGTGATCAGGTCGCTGTGAAGAGACTCCCTGCAATGAGCCGTGGTTCTTCCCACGATCATGGATTTAATGCTGAGATACAAACCTTGGGAAGGATTAGGCATAGACACATTGTTAGATTGTTGGGATTCTGTTCAAATCATGAGACTAATCTTTTGGTATATGAGTACATGCCTAATGGGAGCTTGGGGGAGGTCCTTCATGGCAAGAAAGGGGGCCATTTGCACTGGGATACAAGGTATAAGATCGCTGTGGAGGCTGCTAAGGGGCTTTGCTATCTTCATCATGATTGTTCACCCTTGATTGTTCATCGTGATGTGAAGTCAAACAACATCCTTCTTGATTGCAATTTTGAAGCTCATGTTGCTGATTTTGGACTAGCCAAGTTCTTGCAAGATTCAGGCACATCAGAGTGCATGTCTGCCATTGCTGGCTCTTATGGATACATTGCTCCAGGTATGATTGGATCTTAATAATTATTTAATTGTAATTAATTTGTTTAGCTGCACAGATTTTATCAATTAATTCCAATCAAACTATCTTTGATCCATATTTTGTTTAGGTTGATATGACCCCTATATGTTGCATAAATGCCTACCATAATTTTCTCTGTGTTTCGATCTAGTTTGACATAGAAATTCCCTTAAAACATAATTTGTGGTTTGAAAATGTTAGTTCTCCGGTTTAATCAGTCTCACGCTTTTGCATTAAAATGTTAGGCATCTTTTAAAGTACGTCAATCTTTTGATTGTTTGTTTGACTATTAAGTGAGGTTTTACATTTAATAATCATAAGAGAGTCAAAAAAGTCGATAGATTTTAACTTCTTGTTTTAGATAGTCTATTACTACTCTGTTATTAAATTTGACTAATTTTACATGTATCTCTTTGCAGAATATGCCTACACTTTGAAGGTGGATGAGAAGAGTGATGTCTATAGCTTTGGAGTAGTCCTGTTAGAATTAGTTACTGGAAGGAAACCAGTTGGGGAATTTGGTGATGGTGTGGACATAGTTCAGTGGGTTCGAAAATTGACTGACTCTAACAGGGAAGGAGTTCTTAAAATTCTGGATCCAAGACTTCCCTCTGTTCCTCTCCATGAGGTGATGCATGTATTCTATGTCGCAATGCTCTGTGTTGAAGAACAGGCTGTCGAGCGCCCAACTATGCGTGAAGTGGTTCAAATTCTGACAGAGCTCCCAAAGCCACCAAGCTCAAAACAGGGAGAGTCAACTGTCACCGAGTTCTCACCACAATCAGGCACCGCCAATCTCGAGTCTCCTAATGCATCAATCAAGGACTCAAAAGATCAACGGCCGGCACCACCTCAATCCCCACCTCCCGATCTTCTTAGCATTTGAAGTGTTTTAGTAGTGGGAGGGGACTGTTTGTTCTCTAAGTTTCAAGAATTGTGTTAGCTTTTATCTATGTTTTCTTTTTTTACCTTTTCTAATCTTGTGCTGGGGTAGTGGGGGATGTGCTCTAACTTTAAGGTGTTAAATGTTTGAAGTTTATCATGTACAGTAGGATTGGTGGGGATATTTTCTTTAAAAAAAAAAAAAAACTCTTCTTCATCATGTAGTAGTATTCAGCTATGCCTTGCTGTTTTACACTTCTGCAATCTGTTTATGGCACCAGCAGCAGCAGGTAACTGTTAAAGCTCTGCAAAACTCAAGCTCTAGTGTAAACATCAAGGGAAGAGATATATTTATATGTCAGTGGTTTTTAAAGAAGTGCTTATTATTATTGTTATGACTTGTGAAAGAAAAATAGATGGAAAGGGACGCATAGAAATTGGGTTAAACCTCCATTGAAAACTGTGTTATTAAGTTTTTATAAACATAAATATTAATTATACTCTGTTTCGGAGAGGCAGGGAGTTATCAGAAGTACCTCTCAATTACCGAGACAGTGGGGTTTCTCTGTTTGGAGAGAGTGAAAACTCCTTGGCACTCTGCCTTTAACAGGGTCCCTTTTCTGCAATAAATTGAACTGTAGGATGAATCAAATGAGTGCTTGTTTCCCTTTTATAAAGAATTAATGAGTCTGGGTGTTCAAAATTTTCCAAAATCTAACCTTATGCCCGCCATAACTATGCCTGCATCACTAACAATAGGACCATAAGCTTCAATTTTTGGGACCCCATTTATGATGTTTGCCATATGCCATGCACATGATTTCACATGCAATGCTGGAAAAAAAAAAAAAAAACTTTCGGTTGGTATCCTGAAACAGGGTTATGGAGATTGCCCTTTTCCTCATGCAAACTTAATTACGGAATTTATTACTTGAATATTTATGATATTCAGCAAGGTTGGTCAATATGAAAAAATGATTTTGGTATTATTATGTTAGGTTGGTGAAGAAGAAGAAGAAAAGGACGTATCTTATATGAAATATAATTATTATTATTATTATAAAGTTTTAAAAGGGCAAGTTGGTCCAAGAAAATGGAAACGTAAGTGGAGTATAATTATTGTATGGTATTGAATTTAATGAACAGTTCGGTGACAAAAACCCACGTCTTGTAGCGTTGTTTGTATGGGTAAAAAGGAACTTAAGAATAAGATGCTGATTTTGCGGTTAAGATGGAGTCAAATTGGATTGGGTTTTGGATGGGACATTGTTTTAAAAAGAGTGACATGCCCTTGTCCCATCTCATCACAAGAGATCGTTGGATTAGGGTGGCATTTTTTGGCTTTTTATTTTGATTGATGGGTGTACCAGAGTCGGAAAAGAATATTTACATTTATTTTTCTTTTTTTTGTTTGATATAAATTAGTTTATGCTATGAATTCTGAGACCGGCGAAAGGCGAGAGAAATTTACCTGATTCTTTTATGGTAAGTTCTGGGTAGTGAGTACCATTATTTGCAAGCTGTGAGAGTCAACTTCTGAGAGTTATCTTGTTATAAAATTAATGACGAATGTATTCAGATGAATTAAGATGAAACACACTCATGAGAATTGCTGAGAGTTGAAATTTTGCATGAAGAAGATGGGAGTTGTTGGGACGGGACCAGGGATTATGAGCAGAGGCAATGTCATTTTGTGTTCCTGAAGCGGGAGCAAAACCCATTTGAATAATTGTACGTAACTTTTATCTTTTTATTAATAATTTAAGTTCACATGAAACTATTTTTTCTGTGTTTCTTCTGAATGCAAGTCTGGATTTTGGTTTTCTTTACCAAGAGTTCACGTAATCCTCTGAATTCTGTTTCTTTTCTTTATAACGTACGTGCACACCACTCTTACAATCTGATGCTCAACAGCATGTATGCTACATTATTAATTGATTCACTTACATTTTCAAATTCAACCCAATTTTGTTTTTTAATTAATTAAACAATTTCTTCTCTTTCGTTGCAGTTGTTAATTAATTAGTTCTAATTTATGTATACGGTAAAATCTTTTTATAATCATAATAGTGGGATCAAACTAATTTATTACTATAAAGAGGTTATAACTTAATAAAGATATAGTTACAAAAATTACTATTTTGATTTCTTATTTTATAATTTACCTTTAAGTAGTATGTATTAGGGTTTCAATTTATTGTTTTAGTAGTCATTGCTATAATTAGACAAGAAGAGAAATAAAATAATCATCAGGATGATAATACAAAAATATAAAAAGTCTTGTGCTAAGAAGTTCTAAACATGCTTGAAAAGTTAGAAATATTTTGGCTTCAATAAAAAGGTGTTCATACTACTGAGTTATCACATACTTGTAAGTTAAAAGGCGTGGGAATAACTGTAAAACATAAATTATTATCCCAAACAACTTTAGATTAATATTTTATTTCATCTTAAACTTTTAATGTAACATAATATATATTTTTTCTTTTTGCAATACACAAATAATTATTACTATGTAGAGACAACTTTCTTAAAATTGGAATTAGAAAAATTATAATTTACTACAATATAGAGTTTAATCTTATTCATAACTATCCAAAGTTGAAACTAAAATTTTTTATAACTATATAGAGGTTATACCTATATAGTATCACTATACGGAAGTTTTATTATATAGATATAGAAGCATTTCGTGATTTTAGAGGTTTTTATGACAATTTTCATAATAATTATGGAGGTCTTAAAGAAAATTATAGTTTACACAAACTTTTGGAGAAGGTTAAGGTAAATTTTGTTCGAAAAATTTGATAAATTTAAGAGAATTTCAAATTGTTTTAAAAAAAATAAAAATGAAAATAAGAAAGAAAAAGAGAGTAAAAAATGAGATTGACTATATTAAAAAAATCATTTAGACTAAAATCTCATGAATGGGCTAATAATAACAAACTTCAAGAAGCTCCGTAAATATAAGTAAGATTATTGGTAGGTTAAACAGTGAACATTTATAAATCATGAGGACCTAATCCCACCTACTCACACTCACACATTTAACAATTAAATACCCAATAACTTCAAATTAATCAATAAAGAGATAACTCATAAATGTATAAGACAAACTTGGCATACTTTAATAACATTGGATACCAAATTCTACAATAGATTTGATCCATAATTAGAAAAATAACTAATAAAAATTAAAGACATAACCTGAATTCTATGCCTAAAACCTTCAAGTTATATATGGATCATACCACAATGATTGACTGGGAACTGAGAACTTGATAAAATTCTATGAGAAACCCTAAAAACACCAAATAGAAAGGACAAAAAATTAGGAATTGGGCTTGAAAATGGGTTTATAATATTTGATGGTAAATGACAAACAACTTTACAAAGAAAATGCAAGTAACAAACAATGGACAGTAAGAGCTGTTTTTGTCTAGGCAATCGACCTCTCTTTTTGATATACCTAAAAGTACTTCCAAAAATTTATTTCAAAAAAAATTAAAAAGTTATATCACAATCACATGTTGGACAATAGAAAAAAGCATAGAAATAGTAATTTTTATATCTTTTTTCTCTTTTATTGGTGGTCCCTTAACTTTTTCATACTTTCAACTTGGATCCAACTAATAATATCATGTAACTTTCACAATTGTTAGTAAAAGAAAGTAGACTTTTTCTCCTAAGAAATAATTTCCGTTTTATACATCAATTAATTAATTATATGGATTTGATTTATGTGATGGGTATTTTTCATAAATTTGATTAATCTACTCAAAATAAAATATCAAACAAAATTCTATTAGCAATTCTTAAGTAATGCACACATAAGTATTCAATTTTAAACTATCTCTAGTTAGCTTGATGGTTGCTTAAGATTCTTAAATGTATTATTCATGAGGTATTGAGTTTGAATATCTACGACTACTAATAAGAGGTAACCACTAAAGGCTTATTTGGCCGTCAACTTTAGGGCTCGGAAGACTAGTTGAAGTGTACGTAAATTGGTCCGGACACCCCAGATACCAAAAAAAAAAAAAAAATTCAATTTGAGCTTTCGGAAATGTGATAATTTATAACAAGTAAAGAAGGTTTGAATTTCAGATGAAAATTTGGTGCGTTTCAATAAAAATAGGTTATAAAAATACTAAGGAAGAGAAATGCAGTGCAAAGATATAAATAAATTTGGTGATTGTGGTACCCAGTATGACAGTCTGATTTAATGTTTAATATCTCATTTTCTTCGACTTCATTGAATCTTTAAACCTGTAGTCACCATCATTTATAAACTCGAGAATTGTAGAAATGCATGCACCCCACCAATACCAAACCAAATGAATAAGGGATAATTTATGAAATCTGATATTGTTATAATATGCTATCTGTAAAGTCTTGTACTTGTGAAGAAGTACGCAGTGAGGAATTAATTTTCTCCTTGAGAAAAAAAGAAAACAGATCCAAGACATGCATCCAGTTAATAAAAAAACATATATATAAGGACACTGTTAAAAGAATAAGTTGAATTATTGAATGGGATATCTATGGATACAAAGAAATAAATAGTTGAGGTTGATTGATAAGAAGTACTGGTGTTGCTTAACTGGAAGTTTGACAAAATAAACAAGGACCCATTACATTATGAAAAGAAGAATCTCTATTAACCAAAGTGTTTTGGGTTATTTTTTATTGATAGAACTTTTCCAAAGTTAAAAAGATGATAAAGCTAAAGAGACAGGATAATTCCAAAATATTTTTCCACGCAAGAATCTCTATTGCCGTTGCCAATCAATAACCAGGCAAAAACACCAGTGACTGGTGCTTTTGATTATTGATGTAATGGGGTGAAGAGGAAACACACTGTTGCATTTCCACAATCCTTTTTCGGTGCAAAATTAACTTATTAATGTTGCATCATATGATCCTTAGAGTTTTCAAAATTCAAGAATATTGTAACCCTAATTAGCAAAGCTACTTCTGACATAAAATATTCAATAGTTTCTGGAGAAGAGGAATGTAGCGTGTTGAAGTAGAATTTGGCTGCATCAAATGAAGACTCATCAAATCAAACTGAATAAAAGACTTTCACCTTTTATGTGATTAAAACGTGTTTTCATAGATGCAAATTAACCGTGTACAGGTATCTAGAGAGGTTACTTTACAGAGATAGTGGAATGGAAAAGCAAAGAAATTGAAGAGAGACATGACTCTTGCTTTTCTCTGTTCATTTATAAAGCTTTTGAAAAATTCAATGAAACAAAGTGGTAGGACACACATGAAACAGAAAATAGAGCTATAAAGAAATGAAAAACTTTTTCACTAACTTGGACTTTGGCTCTAGGTTGTCGACTAAATTTATCAATTATCATAAAGTGGGAACATATGAGATATAATTCCTATATTTCATATCGTAGCCGAGTTAATTACATTTACCCCCCCCGGGTTTAGGTGATGTCCTGTAGTATAAAATACTGATATACCCTCAATAGTAACAAATATTAAGAAGAAATACATTTAGGGAGCAAAATTTGAGTTTTTAAAACTGGAACAATATCACAATGAGAGGTATTCTCGTTTATAAACAAAAAATCCTCTCAATTAACTGATTAATAAAAGTTAAAATACAGGACCTAGAATAGTTTACCAAAAAACCTCAAGGGTGATAGTGCATAAAGTCTTTCTTAATAAATATATCATACCCATTTAAAGCAATAATCCACTTAACCTAAGCCCACTCTCCTGATTATTATTATCATAATTTTATGTTAAATGGAAGTTTGCGTAGCATATGAGTAGAGTATAAAATAAATGAATTATTGTGAAAGAAGAAACAAAGAAGAGGGTAGTGGGATCTTGAAAAGAAAGGGTTGGCAGGGTGAGTGGGGTTTTGAAATGAAGGGATGGGGGGCAGCTTCTTTAATAATTTGATGTTTTCACGGGCCATTCTTCTTCATGATTGTTCGTTTTCATTGGTGAGTCAAAGCTTCAAAAAATTGAAGAAGGTGTAAGAATGCCCACTCAATCATTTATACTTTACGTATTAAGTAGGCTACTACACATCTTCCGAGAATAACAAAGAGCTATTAATTTGGGTTCCTTTCCTTCCACACACTTCTTCTCACAAGCGGCGTACAAGTCAAAACGATGAATCTAAAAACAACAAATCGGCCCATTCTGATAGGCTTGTTATTGATAATGGGCTCCGCTTTGTTTCTAGCTTGACTCAAAGGCTAAGTGGGGTCAAAAGAACTTACTGAAGGAAACTGTCATCGGACCATCAGGCCTCAGAGCATTACAATTTATAGAAGTTTCATGAAAGAAAGGGGACTAAAGTTCGAGTCTGTGATTTCCTGACGATTTTTCCAAGTGCTGAAACAGTTCACATCACAAACAAAGAATCAAGTTCCATGAGAGTTTTGAAAGTATTTGATTTGTTCAAAAAATGTTAAACAAAAATTTTGAATACTAGTAGTTCATGGTTGTTGAATCGGCGAGACCAAGCAGAAATTGAAAGTACAGCAAGACTCAAATCAAATTCAAATTGGGGGCCATAAAAGAAACATTATGAAATAGATTAGTGTTATATGATCCTTATGTATTAGCTAAAGAGAAGAGCCCCTCTCCTCATAAGATTCTGATTTTGAATCCTTGTATTGATCTAATTGGAAAAATTAAGCGATTTAAAGTAAAAACATTATGTTTTAATGAGCAAAAAATTATGAGTAATGTTACACTTATATCACTTTTTTGTACAATTTTCATTACATTATGATGTGACATATGTCACAATCACACAAATTTTTAATTATTTTTAATTTTTAATATTATAATAGAATTTGTGTGGTTGTAGCATATGCCACATCATGATGTTTACAAAATTGTGTAAAAAAATAGTGTAAATGTAGCATTACAAAAATTAGATCCTTCATAAAATTATATCTAAGCATGGTTGTATTACAAAAATATTTATCAAATTATTAGTTATAGATATTTGAGTGAAAAATATGATTGCTCAAAAATAAAATTGTTTTATTCCCCTTGCTCACAGAAATGTACAAAGAATTTAATTTGATGGCGTTTACAAGAATGAGTAAAAGACCAGAGAATAATGTTGATAGCCTATAGTCCTGGTGCGATTGAATTTGCTTGTCATGCCTTTTTCAACTTCATGTCCTCTTATAGGGAAATTTGGTCATGGTGGTTAATTGTCGCTTACTCCTAGGAATCATGGGCCATGTTTATGGAAAATAGGGCATGTTTATTCTTACAATAATACTAGCCTGACAAATGTCTCACTAATTTCTCTCACAAGCCGCACACGTGACACTGAGTTGGCAGCTTCCACCAGAACGGTCGCAAAATGATTTCGACTACATCTAAAAAATGACCGTTCCTCAATAGAGAACGACCGTTATAAAATAGGAACGGTCATTCATTGGATGAGGAATGACCGTTCCTGGGATGAGGAATGGTCGTTCTTGGTTGAGGAACGACCATTCCAAATGGGCTTATGAAACCCCCATTCCATAAGATTGAATGGGGGTTTCATCTTATGGAATCCCATTCCTTCTTATGGAATGGGAGTTCCATATGGAACACCCGTTCTATCTTATAGAACAATCATTCCTTATGAGAACGACCGTTCTTTATGAATGAAATGACCGTTCCTTATGAATGAACGGTCATTCCTCCTTAAGTAAATATCGTTTATATTTAGTCAAAGTTCATGATTTGATGTGTAAAGCAAACCCAATGCCACGTTGGGTGTTTGTGAAAGAAAGTAGTAAGAGATGTGCCATGTTGGGTGTTTGTGAGAGAAAGTAGTGAGAGACATTTGTCAGTATAGTAGCACTCTTATTCTTAAGAAAGTGGACCTATTTGGACCATCTTACATTATTTTGTGGGCTGCTCCTTTTTTGCCTCTTTGGACTTTTATGCTTGTATCTTACAGTTGCCTTTCAATTTGGGCTCAGGCACTTCAGGTGCAACAGAGAGAAAACAGCTATTTTCAAATAAATGAAGGGATTAAGTTGCTAAGACTAAAGGCAGAAGAACAAAGGCGGAATCGGAGAATGCAAAGTTGGCAGGGTCTTTACACTTGTTGTGTCGCGGTGAGTTAGAAGAAATTGTACATTTGTAGGGTTGGTTACAGCAGTGAAGTTGTTAGGATCCCACATAGGAATCTCACAATAAGACTCCTACTTCTCAAGTCAATCTTTGGGGTTGGACTTTAACTTTGGTTTAAGTTCTAACACTGGTGCTTCACTGAGAGTTAGACTACAAAAAGGGCTACATATAGACTAGCTGAAGGTGTAGTGTGCTCTCCTTGGAAGGGTGGGCTGCAAGCGAAAAAGGCTACCTATAGGCTAGATTAAAACATTGCTAAGATATTGTTCACGCTGTGATGTCTAAATGTAAACAAAAGGATAACTGGGTTGGTTTGGTGGGTGAATTAGTATGTAATCAGTTACCCAAGAATGTTGAACGTATTAAAACAATGGAACAAGAAGCAATTCCTAATTTACATTTTTTTTATGGATTTATTACATGAATATCACCAGACCCAATCTCACCTTAGAACAATAAACTGTTTTGAGATTGTGAGTTTCACGTTAAAGATCATTTCCATCACCACTTATTCAGGGAAACTAATCTTGAAATATATGAAACAAACATTAAGAGCTCGAATATCATCCTACCGTGTAATTGGCACCTCATTTCCTGATGAAGGTAACACCTTTCTGAATACTTCCTGCCAACTCTTTCTTCGCCTTTTCCAAGCCAGCCCTGTTCACAGTTTGCAACAAAGTCTTTCAAACTTGCAGCAGAATGAGAATAGGTTTTAAATTTGTAACCAATAAAGTAAATAAAACAACAAAAACAAACTCAGATGTATATTGTTACAGACCTCTCATACTCGTTCAGGGGGCCAAGTGGGTAAATTTCCTCAACTCCATAACGGCCAAGCCGAACTTTTGATGCAAAGAAAGGAAGTTCAGTCACCTATAAAAGGAAAACAGTATGGTCATAGGTAAGCACCATAATTTCATCAGGTAATAAGATGTAGAGAGGAAAAATATTAAGACATGTTCACCGCAAAAAGGATTCATTTAAAACCTGAGAAGCCACGTATGCACATTCAACAATATTGGCATCCCCTCTCAAGCCCCGTAGACATGCATCAGCGAATTTGACAGCAGCATATGCCTGTAATTTTTATCCACATTTCTTATGGTCACATTATGTGCTAACCACTTGATAGCTCGAACGTAGCAAGGGAAGTACGGATATAATCAAAAGAAAAAAGTAAGAATGTTGTGAATAGTAATTATGCTTAAACTACTAACCATCGATAGTGTGGCAGAACCAGTTCCTGCTTTTGCCTGCAATATCAGCAGTAGTTACTCAATTACAATTTTAACATACAAATAATAAAATGGGTAAAGAACAACACCAAACCGCAAAGAATTTGGTAAAGAAGTATCAACTGAAGTCCAAATGACAGTGATGTGAACATATATGATATAACTATTTATAGGTTGAGCACCAATTCATGGAACATGCCATAAAGAAAAAAAACCAACTCTGTCATGATCCTATTTGAAATTGACAAAGAAGTAGCATCTCAAAAAATATCACCTTCTATTAAAAAGGCAAAAAGGACCATCAATATGGCTAATATAAAATAAAAATTTGGATAAGATCTAAAGTGCAATTCATTGACAAATTTATGGTTTCATTATAGATGCAGGAAAACAGATTGCTACTTATTGAAAATTCATAATAACAGGGTCAGATAATGCATCGACAAGAGTCAGGCAAAGGATTCATGTCCTTCATCCTACATAATTCTGCCTTGCACTGGATCAGATGATGCAGCTAGTCTCAGCAATAATAAAAGCTATGAAATTTTTTTAATCAGTCTCTACCAACTTTTCAGAATTGCATTGAAATCACTGTTCACAATTGTATAAGGTAAATGCAAAGTCGGCTTAAGGAAATTTTAGGTCTTAGGCAAAATTCTAAATTAGGTCTTTTCATATCTGATGAAATTTTTTAAAATATTAGTAAATAATTCATATTTTTTGTTAGTATATAATAACACACAAACACATTAAGTCTTCAAAATTGGAAAAAGGAAAAAGCATATTGAATTTGATGTTAATGTTAATGTAACTATAACATAATAATAATGTTTGGATATACTGTATTTATTATTTGTTTGTGTCCATGTTTTGTTTTCTCCAGATCTTCAATGAAACCATTCCTTTTATCTAATTATAAATTTTGTACTGGGAGCATAGACAAATAAGAAATTTAATTGAAGAAAACAAATCAACTTTTAGTTTGAATCTTGGAGAGACAGAAGCTTAGAAAAAAAAAGTTAACTAACATTTGTTTCTAAATTTGAAAATTTTCTATGAAAGCAAATATATAAATATAAAATTTTAATTTTAGAAATACAAAATAAATAATTAAGTAGAGTCTTAACTAATAGAGACCTTAATGGAAATAATAAAATTCAATTGAATGTTCAAAAATGGGGGCCTTAATTCAAGGGAAGACCTTATTAAAAAGGTTAACCAAGAGAAACCCGAATGACAATAATAAAAATTCAAATCAATGTCAGTGAACAAGGGCCTAAATTCAATGGGAGGCTTAACTGCCTAAGATAATTGCCTCACTTGCCTATCCCTTGAGCCGCTTTGAAGGCATGCAAGTTTCGCAAAGGTAGAACCATCAACCATAGAAGGCTACAGTACTCTTAACCATACACATTTCTAGTGAATTCTACCTAGTGCACTTTACAGTCTCGTAACTCCTACCTAGTGCACCTTACAGTCTCATAAGTCCAGACATTTTATTTACGGGTTTCTTTTTGTATAGATTAGCTACAAACAGTTTAGTATGAGTCTTACAAACATTAAAAACAAACACAAAGGAACTTGCAATCAACGTATTTCTCATAAGGGTTTTCCTTTTAGGGGTTTATAGATTTATCAAACCTAATATTTACAACCTTTATAGTTTCAAAGATTCTCCAAATTCTGCTATCTAATAGTTGTTAAGAGTTTTGAGAATGTCTGTGGCAGTTGGGTTTAAAGCAATATACCAGTCTTCAAAGCCTTAAATTGGGTTTGATGACCTCACATCTGTCAAGAAGTGTACTTAATTCTGGAAAAAAAAATTATCCTGCAACTACAAACAAACTGCCTAAATCAACCAAAGCTGAAGATAGGAGAAATAACACATTTACTCCTAAAGGAGTATGGTCTGAGGCTGTGTTATGTTACCTCTATTAATGCCACGGTTCATAAATGCAAGCTGAATCATATGGAAAAAGAAGAAGAAGTAGAGTAATAAGTCAGGCAAGCCACATCAGTAAAATTCATCATAGGATCTTATGTCATATTGACATCAGTTAGGCCAAAAATTCACAAGTCAGTTAAGCTATGAATCATAACAAATAGTAAACCAACAGGAAGAACCAAATATGAGCATTATTGGCAGTCCAAGACAGATAATTTCAAATATGTCTGCGCTATATTTTCAGTTTAACAATATAAATTACAAAATAAAATTTAAAAAAAAAAATCATCATTGTACCTCAACAACTTCTGTTCCACCATTCTGAATACGGTCTGTCAAGAAGTCAATTTCCTTAGGGGTGAAAGAGCATGGTGGTTTAACCTGTTTATAGCAAAACAACAATGGATACAGAAAGAAAAGAAGAAAACAATACTGAAACATAACAATCAACGGAATTTACACACAAGAATTCACATAATTCAAAAATTGAAAACTCCCTCTTAGACCTGAGACAGAAGAGGTAAAATAGTAACCCCTGCATGACCCCCAACAACTGGAACATCAACTTCCCTAGGATCAAGGCCCAAGACTTCGGCCTGCAGCAAACCCAAGAGGATTTAATAAAGAGTTAAAAGTTAATACCACTGGAATCTAAAATGGATGACAGCAAAGAATAAAAGAATAATTCAGGATACCCAACCAAGCACCTATCTTTCGTCAACTTTAAAAACCTAAAGGTTGTATCCTGCAAATTATGGGGTTGAGAATTGTGCAATCTTAAGCCACAAACCATTTGATGGCTTGACTTAGGTCATTCAAGCAACATGGACCACAACTTGAAAATGTATGGCTAAAGATTTCAGACACCAACGCGTATCTTGATTCAGCATAGAAGCATTTAAACCTTTACTTGCAACAAGAGATATTATTGCTTAGAAAAAGGTTACACAAAATTGTTCTAGTAGGAAATAAACCATATGCATTTGCTTCTCCCAACTGGAATATCATATTCTCTTAAATAATCATAACTGAAATTGATTAAACATTAACAAATGAATTTAAAACAAAGCAAAATCATGAATGATGTATTTGAAGCTTGACCGTCAAATAGCATAAGAAATATAAATCAATGGCACAACCGGGTTGCAGGGCATACCACAAAAGTATTGGCTCTAACAACATCAAGCATTGTGACTCCCAAAAGTCGGTTTGGATCATAAGTGCCAGCTTTCTTGAAAACCTCGGCCGCAATCGGAACTGTGGAATTAACAGGATTACTAATCAAGTTGACAATAGCTTTTGGGCAGCATTTTGCGATTCCTTCACAAAGTGTCTTAACAATTCCGGCATTAATGTTGAACAAATCATCCCTAGTCATTCCAGGTTTCCTAGGAACACCGGCTGGAATAATCACAAGGTCCATGCCCGTAAGGGCATCCTCCAATTGTTGTTGCCCCAAAAATCCGCGTACCTAGAAATAAAATATAATTTGATATTTAAGCATTCAATTTTCAACAATAAAGATCTACAACTTCTCAGCTGGCAATGTCAAACCTATTTCTTACTAATTAAAATCATTAAAAAAAATTAAAAAAAAAAATTGAGGAGAAATAACATACAACGGCGCCAGTGTCCATGTGGCTAATATCAGCAGTAACGCCGGGAGAGTTGACCACATCATAAAGATGAAGAACTGAAACCAACGGATTCATCTTCATTAACATTGCCAGAGGTTGTCCAATTCCTCCAGCTGCGCCTAATATCCCCACTTTGAATCCTGGGGACCCACCTTTTGCCCTGCAATTCTCCCTCATCAAACCGGAAGTCTCCTCCGTCTAATCATCAATACTCAAAAGAAAATTCAACATCACCAACAGAGAAACCAAAATCAAGAAATAGAGAAACAGTTCATGGGTAACAATTAACCTGGAGATTAGGAGGATTAAGATGAGCTGCGAGTCTTGCAATTCGTTGATTGACTTGTGAAGTGGGCTGCATGGTTTCGTGTTCAAAGTTTTCAGAAACCTGTATAGTTATGTATTTTTGCTGGGATCAGGAAGCAAAGAAGTTGGACAACTTATGTGAATTTATAAGAAATTGATTAAAGGCTGAGATTGACTCCAATAATTGTGACGTGGGATGAGAGCACGGCACCGTTGATTGAATTGGGAAGCGTGGAAACTGATCTTATCCTCCACCGGCCCCACTTCACTTTCCGAGCGAATTTAACTGCCCAGACCTCCCAGATTTGCATTTAAAAAAAATGATCATAAAATATTTTGTAATTGTTTTTTTTAATTTAGAAAAACTGACGTGGCACACTTAGAATTCATTAAACATGTAAAACAGGTTAAACTAAAAAGATTTAAACATATGTAGGTAATACTATAATCAACAGAAGTTTGTTTAAATTTTGAAAATTAAAAACGACCCCTACCCTTCAAAATCGCTCAATCGAGCCATATACCCAAAAAAAACGATCGACAAAGACCTTTGATTTCTCTGCGATTTCTAGCAACAAAAGTGCCCTATTTTCGGCAAATATTTAATCCTAAAGCTTCCTTACACAAAATCATGGTTGATATTTACAAAGAGGAGGAAAATGCAACCCCATTCCAAATCCTAGACTCCGGCGACAGCGGCAGTTCAAAGGCTATCGAAGAAGAGGCTCCGGTGGATCATCTGATGAGTCAAGGTGGTCTAGAGGCAGAGGAGACAATGGCAGCACAAGAACAGAGAGAAGAATCGGAAAATGGTATTGAAGAGGAGGACGCCGACGAGAATTCAGGCGAGGAGGAGGATGCCGGTGAAGAAAGAGTACGTTTTTTACTTGTTGTTTTGAATTTGATGAGAAATTTGATTGATTTGTACGAATTTGGGGGATATGAAGTTGGTTTTATTGTTTTGGTAGTTGTGGTGTTTTGTCGAGCAGTTGGAGGGTATCGGAGGAGTGGCTTTGTTTGGATTCCAGAGGATGGGAGAAGGCAAGGGAGGCCATAAGGAGGTTGTTTGTGGGAGGTTGGAGGGCTGGGGATGGCAAGAGGTGGCAGAATAGGCATGCAACTGTGCATGGCCAGCCCTGCAATATGCAGGGCAACCCTCCAGCCCCCCCTATTCCTCCACCTCCTGCCATCCTCAGCCTTCCAACCTCATGGAACCTACCACAACAGCCTCTGTAGGGCTTGCATTGGCCTCGATCCTTTGGAGAGTGGAGGCCAAAAACACCCACTCCCCGATGCCCTTGAAGCCCATATCCCCCAAATTGGCAGCCTATTGGTTGTTTTTTTTTTTTGGCTGATATTTAGTTTATATAAATTGTACAAATTTTCCGAAGCGTAAATTATAAAGACTATGGGTTGAAGGTTATAAGCGATAAGGTACCATACTTCCCCATAAGGGTGATAGCTAGGTCGAGTTGGTAAGTTTTTACGAAAATAATAGAGATTTTACAAGAACAAAAGAAGGGTATGGACCGATTCAAAGAGAGTTGTTTCGGTCATTTTTTGAAGATCGGAGAAAATTAGAAAAAGGCGTTTTGGGGGCAAGGAGTGCATTATATGTTGCTACACTAAGTTAAAAGCCAAAAAAAAAAAAAAAAACATGAAATGTGGTTCGTGGTGGATGGGAAGCCACTACGTTTTGGGATGATGAAATATGCCCTGATGATAGGCTTAAGATATGGGGCATTTCCAGATGAGGAAGAGCAAGAGAGAATAAAGAAGAGTAGGGCAGCCAATAACTTGGCTAAAAAGGTTTTGGGGGGCAAGGCGTCTATTGCGGGACACGATTTAAAAGAGAGGTTAGGAGAAGGTGGGTATACCTTTTTAGAGAGGTTCAAGATATGCTTGGTATGGTTCATGCATTCGATCCTAATGACTTATGACTCAACAAAAGTCGTTAATATGGATTGGGTGAAGTTTGCAAGCAACATGGACTTCTTTAGTGCTAACCTATGGGGACGGGTATCATTTCAGCTAACCATGGACTCCTTGCAAGGAAAAGACATGGCGTTAGAGCATCCCCAATCTATCAAGAAGAATAGACCGAACACGTACAATTTGTTTGGCTTCCCATAGGCAATGTAGGTAAATATTAATAGTTTTTTGTTAAGCGCGAGAGGAGTATGTTACATCATTCAAAGCACTAGACGATGCATCAGATGAAGGGATAGACCGCCTAATGCGGGACCTAGAAGGGTTCACGCATGTGAGTGTAGTTGCAAAGCCACAATTTGAGAATGTTATTGATGCCGAGGATGATGAAGCTCTAATCGACGGGAGGGAGGAGGAGGAGGATGAAGAGGTTCGTAAGCCTCCACCCAATTGGCAAACTGGTATAACAAGTACCACTTTGTCGAGGCATCAGGGTCGGGAAAATGAGGTGGTTGACCTCATAAACCATCTGTTTGGGAGTTTTACAACAGCCGTTTATGAGAGGTTTGAGAAGATGGAAGAGCGGATAAAAAGGGTGGAGGAGAAAGTTGATAGGGTGAAGGAGAAAGTTGATAGGGTGGCAGAGAAAGTTGGTAGGGTGGAAGAGGAAGTTGGCGGGGTATTGAAAGTGGTTGAAGTGCAACCTGAGCATAAAAGAGAGGGATGAAAGAGTGAGCATGTAATTTCTCCTTACATAGTAGTTAACGTATGGAAAGAAGAGGAAAACACAGAAAAAAAATGAGCAAGTCCGTGAAAGTGAAGAAGCAAAAATGGAGGAGGGTAAGGAGGAAGTGGAAAAGTGAAAATGAAGGACGGTGAGGTGGGACGCGAAGGAAGTGGGGAAGTGAAAATGGAAGAGGAAGGCGAAGGAAGTGGGCAAGTGAAAACGGAGGAGTTAAAGGTTGATTTGTATAAGTCAATAGATGAGGAAAAGAAAAAACTCTTCTATGCCTATTACAATGATTCTGGAAGTGATGGGCATGTGAAGTGCAAGATCGGGGATTATCCTCGGGAGTGGTTTGAAAAAATATTGACGATAGGCAGGTGACTCGACGACTCGGTGATTATTTTCCCTTATTTTTGCTTATGTTTTCCAGGAGGTATTGTATATTTATCATGTTGTTTTTATTTGATACAGTACATCGATGGGGTATTGGCACTTATGAGGCTACGATAGAGTAATGATGGTGATATTTTGTATTCGCAATGTGCCATCACCATGTGGCCTTTGGCCAAATGCTAGTAACTACATATGACACTTTAATGAAAAATGCCAATGGAAGAGGTGCAACAAAGGGAGGCAAGTGGAAAAGATTAGCCACAGATGACTTCGACAGTGTCCCTGATGATTTTCAGTTTCATAAAATGATGATGCAGTATGTACGGGGGAAAAGGCCCAAACATGGCAACAGTTGGGCAAACATTAAAAGAGTATACTGTATCATGAACATCAAGGATATGCATTGGATAACCATCATCACGCTACTAGAGGAGGGTTTGCTGCACATCCTTGACTGTAACCTAAGTATTTGTCGAGAGAGGCAGTTGGAGACGGAGTTGCAGCCACTATGTATATTGTTCACATGGCTGTTGCATGACAATGGGATGTTTCAGCACTTGGGTGATGAACTACTAACGGGAAAGTGGCCATTTAACTGCCTTCCCATCCCGACAAATGACTCAAGGTACATTTTGTATAAAACTTACATAATACAATTGTTTTATAAGCTGATTCTAATGTTAATGTCTTCCTCCTATTGTAATGCTGATTGTGGGGCATATGCACTAAAATTTATTGAGTTCGACATGACCAACACCCCGATGGATGACTTGAATGACGAAACAATGAGCAGCTGTCAAGAGCACTGGGTTGTTGAGTGCTTCCATGGGCATATGAATCCCTTTTGACTAACCAGAACCCAATCCAAGTCATTGTTGATGCTGTCATCAAAAGGTATGAAAGTTAGACTTAGAATTTTGTAGTTTATGTGATGTTGCCTTATTGGGTTGTCTTGAATAATTGGATTGTCTTGAATTGCATTAGCTGGTGTTGTTAGGCGTTAGGCTGTTGGTGCTTGGGTTGTGGTGTTATGTATGCTTTGTGGCCAAGGTCAAGACTAGATAGTGTTGGAAGGGGTGTTGTTGAAGAAGACGAATAGGCTGTTGCTGCTGCTACTGATACTGAAGGTATGTTGGATAATTTTGGAGGATGGGGAAGTGACTGAAGAGAATGATGAAGAGGGGGGATGAAGGCTGTCGGCCTTGCTTTTGTTTTGGGTGTATATAGGACATTTAGCTGTTGTATATAATGTTGTAATTTAATGTAACTGACACATTTCAGATTAATACAAAAGCAATTTAGTATTTCTTTCCCTCTTTTGAGTTTGAGTTTATTTAGTATTCTTGTTACATGGCATTGATGTGTTGATGCAATTAGATTATCAAATTCAGGAGAAAATTATGGAATTAATATGTGTTGGTGATTTTAGTTTGTCAAAATTCAGGAGAAAAGCTGGAAAAAATATGCATTGCCATGATCGCTTAATCGATATATAAACGACTACATATATCGCTTAAGCGACCAAAGGTTTTCTATACAGGATCGTTTAAGTGAGACAATAAATCGCTTAAGCGATCGTGCATTTGGGCAGATCTTTATTTTGCCATGGACTTGATCGCTTAAGTGATCCTAAATCGCTCAAGTGACCAAGGGTAAAAGTGAAGAATCTCTTAAATGAGACCATAAATCGCTTAAGCGATCGTGCATCTGGGCAGATCTTTATTTTGCCTCGGACTTGATCACTTAAGCGATACCAAATCGCTTAAGTAACCAAGGGTAAAAGTGAAGAATCGCTTAAGCGAGATCATAAATCGCTTAACCGATCATGCATCTGGGCAAATCTTGATTCTGCCTTGGACTTGGTCGCTTAAGCGATACGGTTAAGCAACCAAGGGTAAAAGTGAAGAATTGTTTAAGCGAGACCATAAATCGTTTAAGCGATCGTGCATTTGGGTAGATCTTGATACTGCCTTGGACTTGATTGCTTAAGCGATTAAGAGTAAAAGTGAAGAATCGCTTAAGCAAGACCATAAATCGCTTAAGCAATCATGCATCTAGACAGATCTTGATTCTGCCTTGGACTTGATCGCTTAAGCGACCAAGGGTAAAAGCAAA